GGAGGAACAGCTCAGAAAAGGGGGTTGAGAAAGGTTGTATAACCTGGAACAGATAGTTAGTGTTACTGAATTGAACATGCAGAATTGGTGTATGTTTTGCTGTGTAGATTTTCAACAAAGATTTAAAAAAGTAAAAAAAAATTAATAATTTGGATTTAAAAAGTCCTAAACCTGTGTGACCTTGGGAAGATTTTAAACCTCTCCAAATGTCAATGTAGTTATTAGAAAATTAACCATAACATCATACTCCCCTCTCATTGTGAAGATTAAATGAGATCATTTATTCAACACACACAGCACCGTGCCTGGATGGGTAAACCCTCTATAAAGATCACTCCATCCAATTGCATCTGAAAAATGGGAGGAAATTCCTACCACTTCAGACTGCTGTTAGCAGTAAATTAGGCACTTGCTAAGCAGGGCTTACTTAAAACAGATTAATTTCCCTCCCCCTTTCCTTAAAAACGGACTCCCAAACTGGTAAAGGTTCCTAACGGAGAGAGAATGAAAGTGGGCGAAATGGCCTCACTTAGTGACTGGTTCCCAATTCTCCTCTGCATTGCTGTTCTCTCACACTGTTTACCCAAATCCTGGCATACGTTTGTAGAAATAGATCCTTTGATGGTTTTGTCAAAATCAGCTTGGAGCCAGAAGAAAGCAGGCCAAGTTAGTCATCCTTTGTGGAACCACAGCCCAATCAGACTCTGCACTAAAATAGAGAGTACAACTGGATGTCTTTGAAAAATAAAGATTATGGCTTCTTTGTATACCAGAATTGGGCAAGCCTGTTCTTTGAAGGGTCTGTAGTTATTCACCAAAATGCCAAAGGAGGCTAGTGAAATAGGCTTTGGGAGCCCAAGCCAGGGATGATGGTGGCCGTGATTGGGTGGAGATGCGGCCGATTAAAGGCTCCACATCAGCAGCATTCAATAGTACTTTCCGCGATGATTTGTTGTTATTGTTATTAAGTGCTGTCGAGTCGATTCCAGCCCACCGTGACCCTGTATAGGGTTTCCAAGGAGCAGCTGGTGAACTTGAACCACCAACCTTGCAGTTGAAACGACTTTGCAATCTGACGCATTAGCCCACCGCACCACACCAGGACTCCGATTCTTGTGTTCTCCAGCACAGTAGCCTCGTATCTGAGCACTTGAAAAGTGGCGTGTGTGACTCAGGAGTCCTTCTGTGGCACTGCAGGATAAGAACTGGTTCAAACCCACCAATCACTCCTCAGAAGCCCTATACAGGGTTGCTATGAGCTGGTACTGACTCTACGGCACTAACAACAAGTGAGACCCAGAAACTGAAGTTTTGATTGTATTAAATTTTAAGTAATCTAAATGAGAACAATAACCAGCTATGCATGGTTAGCGGCTATTGTATTGGACAACACGACATTCATTATGCAGAGGGCAGAATCCCAGGAGTAACCATGTCCAAACCGGATGTGTGGCATTTCCATTTCCATCTGTACCCAGGGCAGCTGGATGCAAACCTAGGCAGTTACTTCTCACTAGTGAATGAAGTTAGGCTCCGTGGAAGGATGGAGCAGAACTGAGGGGCATTTGGAGGGGACGTAGGGACCATCACCCATCTGTCAGTTTGCTGTACTGTGGTGGCTTGCATGTTGCTATGATCTTGGTATTTCAAATTCCAGCAGGAGTAGTCAAGAAAGACAGGTTTCAGCATAGCTTCCAGACTACAACAGTTGAAGAAAAAAGGCCTGTTGATCTATTTCCAAAAATCCATCAGTGAAAACCCCGTGAATCACAAGCGAACATAGTCCCATATAGTGCTGAAAGATGAGCACCCCTCCTAGGTTGGAAGACACTCAAACTACGCCTTGGCAGCAACAAAGGACTTGAGCACACTGATCATTGTGAACATGGCACAGACCAAGGCAACATTTTGTTCTGTTGTACATAGGGGCGCCATGAGTCTGGATCAACTCTACGGTAACTAACAACAACCACACAGAAGGGGAGGGTGCAAGGCAGGCCTCCTTCACTTTCAGGCACTCCTGTCCTGTCCTGTCCTCAGCAGATGTCCCTGGAGCAAGTAGTTGGTAATAGCGAGACACAATGAGCCCCCTCAGACAGAACTGAGCTCCTGCAGACGAGGGGAGGCTCTTGGCAGATGCTGGTTCACTCTATGCTAAATGGATAAGCACATTTACTTGGAGAGCTGGTGGGTAATATGAGGTTGCTCTAATGCTATTCTTTATTTCTCCTTTGAAAGAAAGGAATCCCTGGGAGCCTCACCAGCAGTTTGGGATTGGGGCCTGGCGTCTTTGGCAAATGGGAGGAACTCAGTCTGGCTTGTGCCTTCTGCTCTTCTTCCTTTTCAATTTCTTGGTACTTGCTGCCCTCCCCCGTGTCCAAGGCTCCAGTCGATATTGTGCTATCCCCAGCCCTGGAAGGTGCCAAAATGACTTCATTTCTTCCCAGTCGATCTCGAGGAGAAAGCAATCTGCTTCCCCACCTCCAGCTCCCACCTCCAGCTCCTACACACCAAAGGCAGGTGACTGATGTAAGAATCATTCAACTGGTGGAGCCTCTGTCAAACACTCACTTTGTGACCCTGGTCATCTTTGGATGTCAGTTTCCCTTTCTGTAAAATGGTGGGGTTGAACAGTCCCTTACAACTCTAACACTCCAAGACTAAAGTAGTTTTCAGTGAAATGTGATTATCAGAGAGGAGAGACTTAATCACTCCAGGCAGCTTTGCCATTTAAAAGAGGAGCTGGTTAATCCAAATGAGTCTCTAATTGGCAGCCTGTGGTGGGGAGCTCCCTTCAGCAGACGACTTTCCAAATTCCCTCATGCGCTTTTGGAGCAATGACTCCTTCAAGCCTAGAGGACAGACAACCAGAGGCACCCCTTGGCCCTAAGGAAACACCCTACCTTTGGCTCTAAGTGCTCCCAGACTCTGCTAGATAAGCCCGTCCATAATGGATTGCTATCATTCCTGAACCTGCTTGGCTGGCTGAAGGGAAAAAAGTTCAGATAAACAGAAGCATCTTGTGCTTAAAAACTAAGCTGCCTGGGAGTTTGAACTTGTGAGGGTGGGGATGGAAGGAACGCTGGCTTGGCAGTCAGATGGACTCAGGTTCTGGGCCTACCTGTTTATAGGTTGTGTGGTGGGGGCGGTGGTCACCTCACCCTTGTTTTGCCTCAACTTTCAAGAAATCTGTAGTACTCGCTTGCTTGTGGAGGAAACCAAAGGGAGCCATGTAGCTAATATTATATAGAGAATGTATATGGTATATGGATATATGAGCATATGTAACATGAAATATGTAGCTTTATGTACTTAGAGCATTGTAGAGACATGTGCAAAATTCAAGTAAATAAGGAATTGAAAGATGATGGAATTTCCCCATGAACTTTGGAAGCCCCCTCATGTATGTATGTGTGTGTATGTACATAACTCTATAATGACTCTGTCACGCCAACTCGTGATAATCAGAGTAGAACTGTGTTCCATATAGGGTTTTCAGTGGCTGAGTTTTCAGATGTAGATCACCAGACCTTCCTCTGAGGTACCCCTAAACGAACTGCTGATCTTTCGGTTTGTACTACCCAAGGACTCTGTTTGCATAGATAGTGTTGTTATTAGGTGCCTTTGACCCCAGTTTAACAGAATGAAACACTGTCTGGCCCTGCGCATCCTCACCATTGATGCTACGTTTGAACCCACTGTTGTTGTCATCGTACCAATTCATCTAGTTGGGGGTCTCCCTCTTTCTCATAATGCGGTGCAAATACAAGGTGGTGGGGATGCCGTGGGGCTACTCCAAACACAAACATCTGAGTGGTAATAAGCAAACAGTAAAACACCAGATTCCTTCTTACAGTGCCTGAGAGTATGTGCTGTGAAACAGTAAGACCTAAATCACTCCCGAGCTGTTCTAGGATTAGGCAGAAATGTTAATGGCAACAGATGCTGCCTTGTTCCTTCCAGGAGGATTCAGGCTTCAGTGAAAGTATTTCTCTGCTGGCTTCAGGCCAAGACATGGCCACAGCCCTTCCTCTGACCTCTTGTTCAACCCAGAGTGTGGCAGGGGCTCAGTTTCTGCCCCAAGGCTCACCATCCAACTGGAAAACATTGGAAACAGAACCTCACGTTGGGAAACTCTCAGCATGACAACAATATCCTGTAAGATCTGCTGAGTTCAGCTTCAGGGGAAACAAGGAGCTGCAACCCTCAAGTGGAATCCAGCATTTTCATGGAAGTCATGGGTGAAGATCAAAGAACTGATCTCTGTGCATGGGAACTGAGCAGCTGACATAATGGGCCTTCTGGATATCCAATTCTAGGAGACTATGAAAACAGATAAGAGTGGCCAACCCACGGATTGTTCCGAAATGTATCAAGGTTTTTCCTCCTAGCACTTGGCAGCAAGGTTGCCATATTCTTGGGAAAAGAAAGAAGTTGTGTCAAATCACCATCTGGAGCTTGTTTCAGGAACACTGTGGGAGTGGAGGGTGTTGTGCCCAGGGGACTGCTGAACTTTTTAGACAAGTAACTGCATCCCTCCTTGGGAAGGCTTCCAAGCCACTCAGCACTCACCTTTAAATGGGGACTGGGCTCGAGTCACAAGGAAGAGCCTCCTGCTCTGGCCCTGCCTGTCCTGGCGGGTGTGGTAACCCAGCGTGTTGCAGCGGCCCTTCTTGCAGCTCAGACACAGGCCCTGGCTGAAGCTGTCCATGTTGTTACACAAGTAGGCTGTGCTCTGCATGTGGCTGTGCAGCAGGGAGTCCATGAAGAGGTGCACGGATCGCTCGTGGGCACATTTTATGGTCTGCGTGATGGCTGGAACACAGAAGACAAGAAGGACTTTATCATCCCTTCATCCCAAGTGCCCTCAACTCAAAGATCATCTTAGTTCTCAGCCCATAGAAAATGAAGCAACAAAAAATCCAGTTCCCAATAAGTGGATACCAACTCATGGTAACCCCATGTATGTCAGAGTAGAACTACACGCCACATGATTTTTGTGCTGTGATCTTTTTTTGTTTTCAGCTATGTTATTTGGTTATTTCACTTTTGAAAAAATTTATTGTGAACTGAGTGATAGTTTACATGGGGTAACATTGGGTTTATACTCATTGTTTCATTGCAATGATTACAATCTCCTCTGTGAATCATCATTCAACAGTATTTGCCTCTATTCCCTCTTTTTGTTTTTTTTGTTTTTTTCGTTAATGGGGTGTACACAGAAGGACTTAGGAATATACAATCATTTAAACAACCAAAGGGCACATTCTGTAAGCCTGCCTCCTGGCTACCAGCACCTGGCTGCCATGCGCTGTGATCTTTTTTTTTTTTTTAACGTTTTTATTGTGAATTGAATGATGTTACGTGGGAGAGAACTGGTTTTACACTCATGGTTTCATTGCAATGATTACAATCCCTACTGTGATCCTTTGGAAGTAGATTGCCAGGTCTTTCTTCTTAGGTGCCTCTGGGTAGATTCAAACTACCAACCCTTCAGTTAGCAGTCAAGGGTTTAACCATTTGTGCCACCCAGGGACTCCCACAGAAGACTAACAGCAATGACTTAGAAAGGAGTGGATTGCTGAGGGCGGACATGCTGGCAATGGAGGGCTGTAAAAGCAGATTGAAAATTAAAGAAAGAGTAGAGCCATCTGGAATACCTTAGTGTAGAGACACAATCCCAGTCACTTTGGGACCCTTGAGGGGAGTGCTCTATTGCAACAATTTTAGGAACTCCAAGACATTAAGAACAAAACAAACTATTTTCACTAGATTATTTAAGGAATCAGGTAGTGTAATTCACTTTAGAAAGATTTCGATCTCTAAAGGTTAAACATACACAACTGCTTATGCCTTGCGGGTGAGTTACCTGGAATAAGCTTGTGTGGAATGTCTCTTTTCTTAATAAAGATAGAAACGACATGCTCCTGTAGTACCCTGAGGCCCTGGCAAAAGCTGACGTCTCTCTTACAATGTCTACCTTACATCTAAGGCTGTCATTACATCCCTTAGGTAACTGGCTTGTAAAAACAGCATGGTGAGTGGATCCAGAAAGACAAGGACCATGATCAGGTTTAAATGGGTCTAAGAAAACCAGGAGCCCTGGTTTTGTAGTGGATTAAGCATTGGGCTGCTAACTGCAAGGCTGTTGGTTTAAACCCAGCAGACACTCTGAGGGAGAAAGAGGAATCTGTTTGCTCCTCAAAGATTTACTGTCTCGGAAATCTTAAGGAAGAGTTCTAGTCTACCATATGCTGTAGTATAGCTATGAGTCAGAACTGACTCCACCACAGTGCTAGAACCAAACGGCAAATCTACTGTGGATTTTGAGTCTTTCTTGTAAAATTTTCTAGGTCTTAACTTATTCTCACATCAATCTAATAATTCAACCTTCAAGGAATGTTGAAGAACCACCCAAGATATAATCACAAGTATCACAGTTCAATGT